GCATCCGCTGATGAGCTCAGCCTTGGCCAGCAGTGGGTCCATCTTGGAGCCAGCTGGCATTGGCTCTGTTGCACACAGGGGAAGCTTCTAGCAGCTTCTTATGGAAGCCACCTTGGTAGCTTCCCTGCTACCAAAACCTTGCTGTGCAAACCCAGTACAGGTGCTTAATGATGATGAGATGGGGATGATTAGGAAAAAGTCAATCTGCCAGTCTTTATGCTTTTTGACTTTTGACTTGTAATCAGGTTGATGAGCAATCAAGATATTTATTTTAAAAACAATTGTAGTTTGTGTACTTTTGGTAGTGCCTGGACATTCCTGAGGGGATCTTAGTGGTGTTTGTTACAGTGCAAGAGACAGTTGCATGAGTCATAAGCTGTTGTCAGTTGACACAGATAGCTTCATCAAAGTCCGAGGAGTAGCATTAGTTGATACCCGTTGGCATTCTGGTTCATTGTTTCAAAGGTTGTAGTCAAACTTGGTTCAGCTAAAAATAAGTATACTGCTTTCTCATATTTGCTTTTCTAAATCATGTGTTTGAATTGCAGAAATCTCATCAAGTTACTTTCATTTATAGTTAAATTATGCAGAAACAAGACTGAGTCAATTGGAAGACTGTCATTGTGAGAAGACTTGTCAAGTAAATGGATTGATCTATAGAGACAAAGACTCATGGGTTGAAGATGATCACTGCAGGAATTGCACATGCAAAGTAAGAATTTATGAAGAGTTTAAGGAATAGGACCCAATTAAAGTGTGAAAATGGCCCTTGAATACATAATATTAACTCTGAGAATTATTATATTTTTAGTATGCATTGAGTGGTAGTATGAGCAAAAGGGAAGGAAACGGTAAAATGAATAAATAGAATTTTGACGTTGCTTATGCGCAATTCTTCTTATTATGTCTGTAAGGACGTTATGGATTTGGGGTGAAAGTGTGGCGTTGCCTGTGTTTGGTTTGGAATTATTTTCACTGCAGTAGTTTTTTCAAAAAGTAAGCATTGTCTTAATAGTATTCATAGATGCTTAGTTGCATCTTGCATGGTAACAACATGCAGATTCTGTTTTCAGTGTTTATCGCTCTGAAAAAACGAAGAACAGAAGAGAATTAGTATGAAAATCTTGTCTTGTGAAATTATGTGATAAATATCTGAAGAGAGTCTTTGTTTGCTCAAGAAAATAGAAAACTGATTGTTAAAAAATCTCAAAGATGATTGGCACAGCCTATGGAAAGCGGTGCTTATTCTTGTAAAGATGGGCTAAGGTTTGCCACTTAATGTACTTTGCTCAAGGAAGATGGGATAAAACCAGTAATATGTATCAAAATGGGGTGATTCACCTTCAGATGCATTTTGATTCAAGTTTGTAGTTCGATAGGATTAGACTTGTTACTGAAGGATGTAATCTGCAATGCTGTTTTCATTTACTTAAATTGTTTTCTGTCTTCTGCGTTTTGTATAAAATACTCACTAATTACAACAGTTGTAATTCAGTTTTGTCTTAAAAACCTTTGCTTAGAGTGGAGTTGTAGAATGCCGAAGGATGTCTTGTCCCCCTCTCGATTGTCCTCCTGATGCTCTCCCAGTGCATGTGGAAAGCCAGTGCTGCAAAATATGCAAAGGTGAGTACATCACATGGACCTTTTAGTTTCACACTCTGTTTAAGCAGAGTTAAACTTGTCCTGAAAGTAGGCACGTTTTATAACGACTTTCATAAGTCCTGGTAATTCGGGTAACATGAGTCACAGTGGCAAACTTGAGTTAAGAAGAAAATAAATAATGGCTGAAAAATGAACAAGCATTGCAAATTTCTAAGATTTTCTTTTTGCCTGTTTTCAGTGTAAAATTATTCATCTACTTGCTTGGGGCTGGGAAGCCTTACTTGGCCTCAGCTTGTATCTCTTGTTGTTGTTGAGGAGCATCAGACCTATGGTCTGAACTTTCTGTAGCAATGAGTAATAAACTGAGCTGTTATCTTTTCACCTATCTTTTATTTTGGGTTGGAAGGTTGTTCTTTAGAATAAATGTGACAGAATTTCAGACCTTGAGTTAGTATCACTGCGTGGAGTGATAGTTTGCTGTAATTAATTTCAAAATAAATTTATGAGAAGAAAGAAAAAAAAAGTAAATTTTGTGATCAGTGTTTTTTTCAGCTTTCTTCTGGAAATGAAAGCTAAAAATACCATTCCTGGAAAGCCTAGTGAATATCTGTTGCCTTAATGATAGTACAAGGGACAAAGACAATTTATATATGGAAATTTTAGCTGAACACTGATATCAGTCTTACCTTAGGAAGCACAAATTATCTTTTTCTTTCTTCCCCTCTCTTTCTTGGAGACTAGTAAATGTCATGCATGAGTTTTTCAATAATTCATAAGACAGGGATGTTGAATTATTTGAAGATTTATTAGGAAAATAATAACATTTTTTTTAGCATTCTGTCGCCTTTCTTCAGTCACTGAATTCGTTAGTCCCGTGCACAAACGTCCTTTAGCTTTGATCTTGCTCTTGCTTTTGTTTACTCATGTCATCTCATTACTCTCAGCTATATGCCGACGTGAGTATTCTACTTACTAAAAGATGTTCATGAAGAGAGTACTTGGGTGGTAAAGCGGCCATGCTGGCCCGTATTTTTTTATCTCAAAATATTTTTATTTGTAATGTTGAGAGTCTTTCTTACAAGTTCTTTCTTGTACCTGGATGCTTCTCTTGGCACGCCTTTGCTGACATGCATGTGTGCGCAACGGTCAAAATCTGACACAAAGGAGTTGCAAGACACAAAATTGTAGATTCAGTGTAAATCCCCATGGGTAAACTGTGTTCCTATTATTCATAATGGAAAGATGAACAATCAAACTTGCCTTTTGTCAGTGATTGGCACAAACTTGACTCGTTACTCTGACAAGAACTCAGCATGTCAGTCAATGGGAAGAGATGTATGGAAGTTGATTGAAATTGATTGTAAATGCCGGCTCCTTGACAGAATGATGTACTAGGGCCACAGTCAGTCACTTTTGGGTAGACAGTAGTAATTGCTGAGGCTTTCTGAAGAGCTGCACCACGGGTGTTAATTTCTCGGTGCTTTTCCTATTTAGCTCTGATAGAATCATCAGTTGTAATTTGCTGCTTCTAGGGATTATTGAATGGCTGGATTATTGAACAGTTTCCTGTCTTAGCTGAGGGTTAACAAAGAAAGTAGCTCTGCTGTCTGATATATTAAGGGTTTTAAAAATGAGGTGGCTCTGTTTTGATCTCTGCCATCTTGTGTTAGCCTTCCAACTAATTTGACAAAAGACTAATTTTGTTTAAAATCTCATGATACTTCTGAGTTGTGCATTAATTTGCTTTCTGGTATGTCCATTCTTTTGGTAAAAGCAATCATATCAGGAGAATAGACAGAAAGAAAAGGAAATGTCTTTATTTTGTCTTCTCCTGAAAATAGTTCCTGAGATTCCTAATTTGAACAAAGCTTCCTGATCTGAAGTTTTCTTTGTAAGTGAGATCACAACAACTCAGGTGCAAAAACTAGGGCAGCTTTAGAAAACTGAAGAAAACTAAAAGGAAGAAGCCTGTGTGGTGTGTGTTTTTTTTTTTTTTTTTAAATGTGTTGTTGACAATGAAAACTCAGTTGTTCTGAAAATCTTGCTGCTTTTTTTTTTTTTTTAAAAGAAATTAGCATTTTCAGGAGTAGAAGTTTAAACAAAAAGTCCTTAGAAGCAAATTTACATCTGAAAGTTTATGAAGATTGATCTAACAGTCCTTTATATTTAGAATTGGGAATCAAACTGGCTATGACATTTGTTGCTGTGGAATATTTCTATTGGTATCACCCGTAAGGGGTACGCATATGCACCTATAAGCACTTGGTATTCAGAAGAGATATTGAGGTAAAACTGTTACTAGACAGTCTGTGATGACTTTTTTTTTTTGAGAGCCATGTACTTTGAAAATTTCCACTTTCACTGTGCATGTGCCTTGACTTGGGAAACTTTTAAGGCTTCGTTCAATTGCGACATAGGGCTCGTGCTGTTGAGCTCTCCTTTGCATGTCATTGGTCAGACTGTTATTGGTCAAGGTCAAACAGAGCTGAAACACCACAACAAAAAGTTATTTTATCAGTGTTGAGCATTTATCTTGTTAGTATTGTAGAGTGCCTTCTTAGGGATGCTTGACTTGTGTAAGATCATAATAGTCCAACTGTTCTTCTTAATTAATGGATTTACTGTCCTCCTCTGGAATTGAAATTGAGCCATCTAGTTCCAAGAGGACTGTGATAGTTATGGTAATACTTGACTGAGCTGTATGCTAGTGTGGCCCTGCTGGAGGTTACCTTCTTTGTGGTGGCAGTAGTTGTAAGCTAAGCTACTTGACCTTGCCTTGAAGTGAATGAGGAGTGCTCACGGGTTCTAGTCTGTTGGTTCAGTGGTGGAGCTGGTTATCTTTAGCAGAAGGGTCAAAACTTCAGACAAGAATTTTTTAGTAGGAGCTTTCAGTTTCCTGGGAAATTGGCTTTTTTCATGTCAGTTTTAAGAATATTTTTCTGAAATAAATTTTTGATTCAGTCTGTTGATTTGGTAGAGTCGTTCGCTGCGCTAAGCCGTTTTTGCAGTGCTCTAGCCAGTTGAAGAGTTCGCCTTTATGCCAACAAAAAATCTGAAGGTTTTGTGGAAATCTGTGCTTGCATTATACTCTTCATGAACAGTACACTAATAAATGTCTCTGATTCGTGAAGTGAGTCATGAAACTTCTAGTAACGGAAATACTGTAGCTATTCTACAGAAACGTCAGTAGTGAAAATGTTTCCTATTGAATACTAATTAATTTGGTTCAGTATGTATTATCTTATGCTCCTGTTTCTCCTCTTTAGTTTGGGTAAAGGTGCTAATTGCTCTTAAAATGAATTTATTGCTAGTTTATTTGTAATTATATATAATACTAACTTCTGATGAAAGCAAATGCATCATATTTTTAACTTATTTATGTATTTTCAGTGTACATGAATATTGGTTTTATTTTTGTGTTATGCCTTGCATTTGTTAACTACTTACTGATTTATTTATTATTAATCTCCCTCCTCCTCTCAAATTACAGCCAAGTGCATCTACGGAGGCAAAGTGCTAGCAGAAGGTCAACGAGTATTAACCAAGAGCTGCAGGGAATGTCGAGTAAGTTTCAGTTGTTTCAATTTTCAAAGTTTCAATTTTCCTGATTTTTGGGGTTTTTTTTAATGTTTATGTGGTGTTCAAAAGTGACGGTTATAAGTTAGTGCATTTCTTTAGGCTTCCTTCATGCAAATGTGACATCTGTTGTCTTGAAAAGGTGACCCTGAAATCAGTGAAAGCCACAAATATGAAAACAAGGCAGGAATATGACCCTTGCAGGGTAAGAAAAACATGGGTAAAATGACTGGAGGAGATGTTTTCTCTTTTATTTCCTGCTTTCATGAGTTCTAGAAAAAGGCAGTGGCTTCTTGAGCCAGTTACTAATTTCAGCCAAATTGCTAAAATTTCAAGCAACCTGGCTTATATTGTTTGAGTTACTCTAGATTTATCCTAGTATTATTTAACTATATGCAGCCCTGCTAATAATTGACGTAAATTACTGAGTATTGAACCGGGCTGGGGTCTGTCTTGGCAAGTTCATAACACTTAGTCAACTACAGTCAGTATTTAAGAACACAGGTAAATGGAGGCTGTGTTAGGAACATTCAGGGAGTGTTAGGGAGCATGGGAGTGCTACATGGTGTGCAAGTGTGGCAGAAAGCAGTCGTTGGCAAGATTAGCCTTAGAAGAAGAGAGCAGTAGTAAATGATTATAAAAGGCCCATTGCTCTGCTGAGACGCGTATTTGTTACGAGTATGTGTGTGCTTTAAATGTGATTTATCCCTTCAGAAAGGTACAGCTATTTTAAACACATTTGGTCTCACATATAATTTTCAAGTATTTTTGTTTTTACATCTTGTTGAATTTGTAGACGGGCAAGGGTGGTAAAGGAAAGGCTTACAAAAGTTATTGACAGATCAGTACACTGGAACAATTATGAAAAACATTTAGAAAAGATTACAATGATCTGGCTATCGTTGTGCTTGTGGCTGAGTGTACAGAGTAGCAATTTTATGTTCACTAATGGAAATGGACAAATACTGGTTGCAGGTGTTGTGAAAGCAGCTTGTTATGCAGTATTACTTTGCTGTTGTTAGTGTTTAGCTGTATGGGGGTGCTCAACATTGTATATGCAGATACGTGGGCAAGGTCGTTGCCGTGAAGACAGAATAAGGTGCTTGTTATTTATAATATGACACAGAAAGTTTATTTGGCAGGGAAAGTGTCTATATGAAATAAGATGAGAACTGGAGGATTTTCACCTTAAAGTGAAACCAGAGAAAGTGATCTGAGTTATGTCTGTGGAACTTCTCTGTGCTATGAATAAGAGTGTTAGATTCATTGTTTTGAGTATAATACATTCATGAAGATTAAAAGCAAATATCGACCATCAAATATCTGTCATAACAGAAATGACTAAAATAATAATGAAAGGAGCTTTCACATCTTATTTATTGTTAATGGCGATGCTAATTGCAGTAATGTTGCAGTTTGTATTGGTATTTGAAACAGCATATATGAATGCAATACTATGGACAAAAAATGAGTCTGTGCCTCAAAAAAAGAAAACGGAAAAAAAAACGGTATTTCCACAGCTGTGTTTCTAAAAGACATTAAACCTCACTGAAAAGCTTGTCATTCTGACTCGGGAGAGTTTTTAAGTGGGTGCTTACCTCTGCTCCTATGAGATGATGTATCTCCAGACATGAAGGTCATTTAATGTATCTTCAGCATGACCTTGTAAAAGCTGTAAGCAAAACACCTACTTATTTACCACCTCAATTAGGAATGCTTACTAGATGAAGGATGAGTGGCAATGAGTCAAACTGTGGCTGTACTCAATGTTTTCTATCTGCTGTGGGCTTACTGGTGGACAAGGTGTTGTATGAATAAAGGAAGGGTTTTGTGCTGGGGGAAGGACTATAAAAAATTTAATATCGCTTAATTTTCCAGACTTGAAAAGCAGACGTCAAGTTTGAAAAGCTGATGATCCATGAAAGAATACAGTAGAGGGTACATGTCAACTGTCAATTTATTAGTGTTGATAAAGATGATGTAAAAATCTTTAGTAGATCTTGTATCTGTAAAGGAGAACGTAGTTGTAGGTGGGGTAACATGAAAAAGATAAAATTAAAATGTCACATTCCACTTTTTATTTGAAGATAGTTATTTTATTTTTTGTGTAGGTACTGATCCAAGCATAAGAGACTTAACTTTTACATTTTTTTCTGTCTAACAAAAATAATAATAATAATACTGATGCATCCAGATAGATCAAAGATGTTCTTTATCAGGCCGTGAGCAGGTTTTTTTATTTCTGAAAACTAATCCAGACTAAAACTGTATTTGATGCACATCCTCTTAACCGTGAGCACAGATGTTACTGATGGACCACCATTTCCAGTTGGAATCTGGCCCACAAACACTCTCTAGGTTAATCTACAATGACAGAATTAATGCATAGGTGTTTCTAAGAATCACAGAATGGTTCAGGTTGGAAGGAACCTCTGGTTCATCTTGTTCATCATCAAGGTCATCTTGTTCAACTCCCTTCCTTGAGCAGGGCCACGTAGATGCAGTTTCCTGGGACCATGTCTGGATGGTCTTTGAATATCTCCAAAAATGGGGACTTCACAGTCTCCTTGACCAACTTGTGCCAGTGCTTGGTCACCCTCACACTGAAAAAAGCCTGGCTTCATCCTCTTTCTACCCTCCCTTCAAGTATTTACAAGCATTAGTAAGATTCCCCTGAGCTTTCTTTTCTCTAGGCGAAACAGTCTCAGCTCTCAGCCTTCCCTCCTGTGAGAAGTGCTCCAGTCCCTTATTTATCCTTGTGGCTCATGACTCTCTCCACTTGTTCCAGCTCACTCTTGTACTGGGGAGGCCAGAACTGGACCCAGCCCTCCAGGTGTGACCTCACCAGTGCTGAGCAGAGGTGAAGGATCACCTTCCTTGACCTGCTGGCAACACTTTGCCTGATGCAGCCCAAGGTACCATTAGCCTTTATGCCACAAGGGTACATGGCTAACTCATATTCAACTTGGTGTCTGCCAGGATCCCTGGGGCCTTTTCTGCAAAGCTGTTTTCTAGCATGGTGACCTTAGCAAGCACTGGTGCATGGAGGTGTTCCTCTCTAGGTGCAGGACTTTCCACTTCTTGTTAAACTTCTTGAGGTTCCTGTTGGCCCGTTTCTCCAGCCTGTTGAGGTCCCTCTAAAAAATGCAGGTGTGTTTGTGCTTTAGAAAACTGCGCCTTTCTGCATTCAGTAAGTGATCATTTTGGCTTGTGGATTTCACCAGTATGATGATGTGGCTCATTTGAAGTCAACGGAAAGAATTATATAACTTTTGTTGGATTGGGAGTTTACTGCTGATCAGCTGACTGGGTTAATGCTTTTCAATGACATGACGCCTGTTCATAACCAGACAACATGTTTGACAGTGAAAGATACAAGAATAAATTCCTATTCACTAATGCTGGGAGTGGGCAGTCAGAGAGTGTCATACAAATGCTAGAAAGATGGACAGGGCTCCACTGACTTTCAGGAACCTTGGTTAAAAAGCTTTTCATAAAGATAGGAACAATATAGTTCCTAGAGTGACAGCTAAGGACACTGTTTAGAACTTTCTCCTGAAAGGCTGATCAATAACAGCTAAAACGAGGGGGGGAAACCCCTCCAAACAACAGCATAAACCACAAAATAGCCTTATCTGAAATCTTGCTGTTATTTTCCAAAGCTGATCATCTGAGAAAAGCTGTGGTTCAGATGTTCACTGCGTGTCACTGATTAGACTTATAGCCAATTCTTTTTTTATGTACTTACCTTTGTAATTACAAGAAATTTAATTATCTTATTGTAAATGCTTGACTCTAGATCTCATTCTTTGTGGATTGCATGTCTCAGTTGGAGCTTAATCTATTTATTCCAAAAGAATGTCTTTTTGACATCAATTTCTGTCCAGATTCTGTGACTACATATGTGGATTGAGTATAAAAAGTTAGTAATTTTTATAAGGCTGCCTGAAGCAATAATTCTGAAGTGTGAAGTGTTCTTGCTTATCTCAGTGGATAATATCTGAAATCTAATGATGATAATTCTTATAATTGGATCTGTACTAGTTTATAACAAATTGATTTTAATCCATTTTAATTGTTTTAAAACTTAATTACAAATATGTTTGATTTGTTTTCTCAACATGCAAATTCTGCAGAAAAAGGGAAACTTTAGGGAAATAAAATCTTTCTATCATTAAATTAATGGAATTCTCAATTTGTGATGGTCTTTTTTTCTCTTTATGATTCACTAAAGATGGTGTGAGCTGGGATTGAATTTGTCTTTAGCTTTTTGACTCATCCTGATCATTGATTTGACTTCCGTACGACGACTTGATTTCTTGCCATCTTTTTACTAAATTTATCGTCGGTCAATGCTTTTCGTCCATATGCTGACATACTGTACCCTTTCTGTTGCAATTGTCTTATCTGAGCTTGAATAGGCAATGAGTTATAGCCAGAGCTTTTCCGGCTGGTGGTTTGATAACGTGATAGTAAATGACTGCTCAGTGTGTCTGGTTCTTTTATCACCTTCGCTGCTGCAGTTGCACAGGCAACCGTGGGGGATTCCTCCCTTTCACTTGTGGAAGTGAGATCAGAAGGAGACCTAATACCTCCATTAACTTCACTGCTCTTGTGTGGGCGTTTGCTTCGATGATGTATGCTGTACGTGGTACTGTAGGGAGCTACTTCTTTTTTTTTTTGAAAAAAAAAAAAAAAAGAAGAAAACCTGATGCCTGTGGGTTTTTTTTAATATTATTTTTCATGACAGCAACTGATGCAACTTGCCAGTAAAGACAATTGGGAAGCAAGAAAAACAGCTTGGCCCTGCTTAGCCTTAAGATTGCAATCTCAAGGGAAGTCACTAGCAGTAATCGTAGAACGGTCAGTTTTGCAGTCCCTAGGTCTGCTGCGTTTCTCAGTTGTAAGACCTGCTATCTGCTGGGCACCTTGGCCATCGGTGGCACCTTGTGGACTCAGCAGATGTTTCTGTGTATTTAACTATGCAGGGCAGCTTGATGCTGTGAAAGCTAATTCTGGAGCCTGAAGTGACACAGCATAATCAGTGTGGTGTGGCTGGTGAGGCTGCTTACCAGCAAGGGTTTGACCTGTACTGGTTCTGGCACCTAAGTTATTCTTTTGGCTTGGTGTTACACAGTGTCTTGTAGATACGAAAGCAAGCTTCTGCCTAGCAAGATTGTCTCTGTATAGGGGTGTTTATTCATATAGCATAGACGTGTAGGCATTTTCCATGTTCTGTGTTCAAAGTCATGTATCTGATCCCTCAGATTATGAGAATGGTGACTTTAATGATGTATTTTGTCTTTCTGTGTTGGTATTTGTTTTCCTCTGCCTCTAGATGTGTTTGGATCATATTTTTAAACTTTTCTCTGCATTCATGATAGTTAGAAAACTTAATTTATTTCTCTGAAGAAAGCAGAAATTCTCATTCCATCTTTTTGTTCCACCATCTGAGTCATCATGAAAAGTATTTTGCAAGGAGTGGGGATTAGATTCATATTAAAAAGGTATATTGGCAATATAGCAGGCTGCCTGCTTTTGTAGTGGAGTTTCATAGCCCTTTGGAAAATGAGATTATTCAGGTGTGGGTGGTCCCGTGGGATAGTTATTGTAGCTCCTACTGAGCAAAAATCCTGGTTGTTAATCTATGCTCCACTTGCCAGTTTGCAGTGATGGTATAGCTGCAGTGGGGGTGCTGAAGAAGTAAATTATGGTTTGAGGAATACTGGAGGGGGCTGAGGGAAACGAGGAGGCTGTTTTGGGACAAGATGTTAAAAAAACAGCTAACCGAAGAGCAGGACAGCTGTTTGGTCTGGAGATACGATGAAGCTGATGCCCTGTATGGGAAGAAGGAGGAGTAAAATTAGGTGTAAAATCTCTCCAGAAAGGAGAGATTCTATTATTTTTAGAAAATTTCTACCAGTAACTAGACATTCTGTACACAGTCTTATTCTAAATCTGGCAGAAATCAAAGTTTTAGAAATATGTTGACCTTGATTTACATTTTTTACAGCAATTTCTATATGAATACCTCAAGATGGGATTTCTACTTTGCCATGCCTTCGAAGGACCTAATTTTTGTAAATTAGCTGATCAGTAATTCTAAAAAACCAGACCATTTTAATTGGACACAGCAGAACAACACATGACACTTGAGAATGTTGGTCTTCTATCTGCTATGTTTGTTTGAGTTGAATAACTTATCAGTGAGTTATGTAGAATATGAACTAAAAGGAGTGAAACTTGGACTTGCTTGAAGCAGTAAAACGGTCTTTAACAAAAACCTGGAGTGAAATTCTTTAATTTTTTCAAATGCTTGTAAGGAAAACAGCTATACTTGGAGAAAACATTTGGAAAAAATACTATAGAATTCTGAGCTTAAGTGCCTTTTGTTTTGTTTTCTCTTCTTTTCTTTCAACTCTGGGCGTAGAAATGTCCAAGTAGATTACTTTAGGTTTGATGTTATGGTGTAAAGAATGAATTTAACTTGCTGCCTGCCAGTTTACCAGTGTTGTTACTAGAGATTATCAGAGGTATAGATTTGAATATTATGTGTTCCTTGTCATTGTACATGTTTTAATCAATGTCACTTTTTGAAATGTTGTTTGTTTCTCAGAATGGAGTTTTAGTAAAAGTAACAGAGACTTGTCCGCCATTGAACTGCTCAGAAAAAGATCACGTTCTTCCAGAGAACCAATGCTGCAGTGTTTGTAGAGGTAAGCCAGAGACTATGCATGCTTGAAAGGAATAAAAATTGGTGATTGAATGGGGGGATACACTGGAAGGAACAATTCCCTTTTTAATGAGATGTTAGGTACCTCTATAAACCTGAGTCTATAATTGCCCTTCACATAAAACCAGTCTGTGATATTCCTTTGGGTAGAAGACTTACCAGATACAAAGCTGTAATTGCTCTGAATTAGGAGGAGAGAGAAAAGGAAGAGTTGGGGGAGAAAGGGCCCAGTACCTCTTAAGAATTCCCATTAGGAAGACATTATATTTGAAGAAGAGATATTTTATGTTGCTTAAACTTGTAACTGCGCTGAATGTACAGGGTTTTGGAAATAGGTTTTTAAGTAATAATGTTAAGATTCCAATTTCATAGATATTTTGAGGTTGATTTAGATCTAGGTGCTCTCAGGACTCATTTATGAGTTAAGATGGACAATTACAGAATCAAAATGCTGGACCAGACTGAACAAGCCATAGCTAAAATCTTAGTTGAGGAAATCCCCTTAAATGAGGAAAATGCAGTTGTCACAAGGATGGGGAACGCAAACTTTTTTCTTGAAAATCAGTGAACTGTTTGGTGAAAGGCATCTGAATAATGGTTCCTCATGTACGTCTGTATTGTACCTTTTTTCGACACCTCTCCCTCCATGCTGAGTCTCAGCTGAGCTTAAGGGGAGCCTGGTCTCTCGGAGCAGGACTTGCATGTCAGCCTTTAGTGATGCACCTCAGAAATTTCAAGCAAAAGGTGTGCCAAATGAACATTAGACGTTTCTGGGCTTAGATGGTTATTGGGGCCTGCTGGACCACTTTTCTTGCCTGTGTGTAAATTCCTCTGGTGTCCTTGTAGATTCCAATGAAGGAGCTCTGAATGTCTTCCTTAGCCAGTAAATATTAATTAATAAATATGCATAGTTAAGTATTTACTGAGGCCTTGAACTTACAATCGTGTGCATATGGCTGTAGGGGCCAGCATGTTTTAGACTGCTTGCTGGATCATGGTTTAAGGATATACGCCTTAATTTTTTTTTTGAACAATTCCTAGAAACTTCTGTAACTATTTGTGGTGGATGAGGCTAAAACCAGGACACTATTTAAAGGAGCAGTAAATGTTGCTTCTTTGTCTCTCAGAGGGCTCAGTGTCTTAATGATACTTCTGAAAGCTTCAAAGTTAATGAAAGATAAGTTCTGCAATTATTCAGTTCTATATTATCGTTAATGGTAGGTACTCTTTTTAGATGCTAATCCCAAACCTGTTTTTATTATTTATAAAATAGCATGAGTATGTATACTTATGTGATGGTCTCTAGAAGCAAAGGAAGGAATTGTACTTTTATTTCCTATGAATTCTGATACATGGTGATTTCAAATTGATACATTAAACTTCCAGTTCAGTTCTGCTTTAGCTAACCACTAAACCAGTATCACCTCCTTTTGTATTTCATCTTTGCTTTTTAAAATTCTTTTGAAAATTATGCTTAAAGATATGATTAGTTTTGTCAACTTTACAAAGGCATAAATTGAGGTTAACACTCTTAAATTGCTTTTTGTACCTTAGAGTATATGCTGCTTGACGTTTTGCTTCAATTGCATGCAACCCAGAGTGGTGGTATATAATTATTTAATTTGTAGAGTACTGGTGTTAAAAATGGATATTCATTAAGAATTCCATATTTGGCATGGGTTTTATCATATGAACAGGTGCCCTCTGATATGGCAAGTAGGCTACAATTTCTGGTCCCATCCTGTGCCAACATGTCCTTTAGAGGGAAAGGATAGAGTGCTTCTCTGTTTTGCAATAATGACCTCTTTCAGAGAATATATTCATTCAACTTTTGTTATCCAAGCAAAAGTAGTGAGGAAGAAACATTGTAGTAAATGTAGTCCTGAGCAATCAGGGTGTTTATTGGAAGGCTGTATGGATCATAGAATGACATAGGCTGGAAGGGACCTCAGAGATCATCTAATCCAACCTCCCTGTCATGGGCAGGGACGCCTCTCAACTAGATCAGACTACTCAAGGCTCTGTCCAACTTGGCCTTGAACACCTCCAGGGAGGGGGCATCCACAACCTCTCTGGGCAATCTATTCCAAAGTCTTACCACCCTCGTACTGAAGAATTTCTTCCTAAGATCTAATCTAAATCTGTTCTCCTTCAATTTAAACCCATTTCCCCTTGTCCTATCAGTGGACACTTTTGTAAAAATTTCACATCGTATGTGTGATGATACAGACAATTCTTTGTATTGGCTCTTAGCTGGGCCTTTAGTTAGTCAATAGAATAATTAGTAAGCATTTACTAGTAATGCTATGTGAGAACAATAATTCTATATAAAGTTTGTCAGTGCATGTGCTTTCTTTAGTATCTAGTTATGGAAACAGAAAACTACTGAATTTTGTGTTCTGTAGAATTATAGAATACCTTTGCTGATTTGGGCAAGGGTAGGAGGTTTGCAGCTTGTGCTTTTAACTGCAGCAAAGGAATTTTCTTTTAATGAAAGTATAAATATAAGCAGAAGGAAGAAAACAGAGAAATACGGAAACTTCATGATGGTGCGGTATGAGACCGTACGCTCTTCAGGGATCTCTGTAATATCTACCACAATAATAGATAAGTGCCTAAAATAAAATGGGATATGCAAGGCAAAAAATAAATCTGCAGTGTTTATGGTGATGGAAATTGTGAGTCAGCAAAGGACCAAGTTCAATACTGTCATGTACGCAGCTGGTGGGTTCCTAGATAGTTGTTATTGTTTGTAAATGGTTAGAAGAGTAAAAACAGCAAATAATACCTTTTCTTCTTCAGATTTGCTGCATGAGTTTATAGTCTAGCAAAAGCTAATATATAGCTAAAAGCTAATTTCAGTAAAATGATTGCATAACGTATACAGCAAGGCAGGCATGGTGTGGAAGAACTCTTATTTTTGTGATTTCATGTACCTGAATGCAGAAATGGGCCTCGTCAGATCGAATCTATCCTTGAATGTTATGTAGAGTATACCTGGTTTTGCCCTTCATCTGTGTGCTTTTAATACAAATGTCTGCTTAAACTATGTGGCTATTTTATAATTTTCATCAGAATAATGTGGTATTATGACAGTCTTTTTTAGGATTGCAGAAATTTTGGTTAATTTTAAAATTTTACAAAGAATCATTGTGTAATAAAATATATTTTTTACTACTTTTTTGAGAATCAGTCATTTGTCTTACAGCAGGCTTGCTACATTTTTTATAGCCCAGGGACAAATCTAATACAAAAAATAGTGTCATAAAAGTGTTTTATTTTTCCCTTTAGCTGTTTTTCTCCTTGCCAAAGACACTGTATAATT